GGAAGGCGAACAGCCCCTCCCCAGGACCTAGCCTGGCTCTGGTGTCCATGATGGTGCAGCAAGTGGACCCCGAGGCTTCCTGAGATGCCCCATCCAGGTGAGGAGACCAGGCATGTCCTTCCCTCCCAGAGCCTCCCCCATGGATCTCCTTCATCCTCAGTACATCCCTGGGGTCCTCACCGTGGATGGGGTCCCCAAGCCCTGGAAATGCCACAGTGGATATGGGTTCCTGCCACTATTTGGAGCTTATGTCAGGACAGACACATGTGTGACAAATCTGCTCAGCCCAGGTTGAAATCACAGTGGCAATGAGCCCAGGGGGGAAAACAGGCAAATACGGAAGGGAGCACAGCCCTTCTCCTGGCTCCAGAGCGTGGCCTTTCTTTCTATCACAACCTCTATGGTCTTCTCTATTTTCCTGTGATACCGTCCACACCCCCTCCCCCTTCCTGGGAACATCCCTGTGTGTCTCTCCTGACTCCTCGGTGCCCCTTGTTCCTGGGACGGAGCTATCTTCCCCACCTTGGGGTCCTGCCTGTAAGCTGTAGGGGAGATTTATTTCAGCTAGAGCTCTGATTGTGAAGGGAAAGTTAACTTTTATCTCAATATTCATCTATTATCCATTGCCTTGTGGCCCAGGGTGGTAACATCCTGTCTTCAAGCCTGTTTCCTTATTTAGGTCTTGTTGTCCTGAACCCCACTCCTCAGGGTAGTTGTGGGATTCAGTGGTTCCCAGTTCATGGGAGGGGATCCATCACTGTTAGTTTCCAGAGCAGGTTAAGAGGGGTTTGGTACATGGGAGGATTATGGGGTCAGACTCAACTTATGTGGATGTTTGTTGCATCCAGTCAAGACCCCTCACATGCCCCTCATACCAAGAGGTGCTACTTGCCACATTTCTGAGATGTGTAGAAACAGTCATATGCAGGAACCGAGAAATGAAAGTTCCCCAAATAGTCATGGAACCACAAGAAAGAACAGAGAACAAAGCTGAGCAGCTGCCAATTCCCAGGACCATCAGTGGGTCATCGAGTAGAGGCTTCCACCCATGTGGACACAGAGAGGGACCCCAGGGTCCTCACAGGGAGGCAGGGGACAGGGCTGCAGGTGAAGGCTGGAAACTGCGGTGCTCCCCAATGTGTGTTTGTGGACAAGCACAGGGGTTTTCCCGCTCACTGACTCAGGCCACCTCCCCTATGTGTGTGTAAAACAGATTCACGGCAGCTTTTCTCTTCCGTGAGTGACTGTGAGCTTGAGGCTGCACTGGACCCGTCCCTGCTTAACACAACCCTGAACAGATGCGACATTTGAGAGAGTGGACACCACAGAGCAGGAGAAGCTGCAATTATCTCTTGCGGTCAGCCCGACTCCCAGAACAGCCCCGGGAGAAACCCTTCTTGTACGAACAGGTGTGTGGGAGGAGAGTGTCCACTAAGAATGGACATCAGAGAGTGATCCTAACAATGGTAAACAGTGCTGTGGATAATAAGCTACTGATGAATAGGAATTATCCTATACAAGGAAATAGAATGGATAAGAAAATATGAGAATAAAATTAAGCATATTTAACTATCTGAAAAAATAAAAGGAGGGGCGCCTGGGTGGCTCAGTTGGTTAAGCGACTGCCTTCGGCTCAGGTCATGATCCTGGAGTCCTGGGATCGAGTCCCGCATCAGACTCCCTGCTCAGCAGGGAGTCTGCTTCTCCCTCTGACCCTCTTCCCTCTCATGCTCTCTGTCTCTCATTCTCTCTCTCTCAAATAAATAAATAAAATCTTTAAAAAAATAAAAGAAGATAATGAATTTTTGATGCAAGAATATGGATTATGTTACAGAAGGATAGGCAATTCTTGAAACAATTAAGAAATTTTAGAGATGAAAAATCCAATAAAATCAATACATTCAAAAAATTCTTTCCATGAAGGACAAGACAAAGCTGAAGAGCCATTTATAAAACTGGAATGCAGTATTGAGGGGTTTTCCAGAAGGCAGCATAGAGAGACCAGACGTGGAAATTCGAGATGCTTGGGGAACAGAATGAGGATGTGTTGTAAGTGCCAGAAGGACAGAAACGAGGATGATGTCTGCAACAGCTGAAGAGATATGTAATTGAACATTTTACAGAGACCGGGAAACACCCACCAAGTGTTAAGGTGCATATATTTAGAAATGACATGTGTATCCTGACCCTTCGTTGTAAATGAAGGAAATGGAGATGCATTTGAGACAGTAAGAGGAATTTTGCCAAGTCACCCCTCTGCCCGGGGTGGGGGGCATAGTTGGGGGAGGGCTGAACTAGCCCACATGGAATGGGAGAACAGTGAGGGGTGCCCGGCCTCCCCAGCTGTGTGGGTCTGCTGGATACACCCAGAGTATTGAAGCAGGACCTCCAGACGGGGGGAGCAGGAGATGGGGAAAGAGGCAGATAAGAATATCCAAGGGATTAAACAGATGTGGTTCCCATTGACTGCATTCAGGACCCCAGCAGGAAGCCTGTCTCTGAGCTGTTGGGAGATCTGAACCCCCAACACCCCCAGCCCCAGCCCAAGGGTGCTCTCCATTCCCCAAGTGTGAAAACCCACACCTCATTCCATGCTGTGGCCAGGTTCAGAAAACAAACGGGTCTGTGGGCAACAGAGAAACCACAAACTTGTAGCAAAACAAAGAGAGATTCCAGCAGCCAGCCTGGTGGGCTTCAAGGACCAGAAAGGAAATACAAGTTTACGAATTTTGTGCATCCTTGCAAAGTTGGAAAAACTATCACATATAAGCAGGACCAATGAAAAAACATCTCCCACATGAAGACAGCTACTAAAGATTTGTGGAGTGACTGCCACTTCAAATGCTAAAACAGCCACGGGAAACTCCAAGGATCATGAGGAATCAAGGAATCAAGGACACATGTCATCAGCAAAAATGAGGACAGCCGTCCAGTAACTGAACTCAGACTTGGAATTTCGTCATGTAGCTGACCAAGATTTTAAAATAGCTGCACTGACGAAACTCATCGAGTTACGAGAAAAGAAGAACAATACGTGAACCAAAAGAGAAATTTAACAAAGAGATAGAAATCGTACAAAAGAGTCAAACGGAAATTCTGGACTCGAGGAATTCAGTTAATGAGTAAAATTAATAGAAGGCACGGGACAGCATCTACCGCAGAACAGAATGATTAGAGTTCCAGAAAAAGGAGAGATAGAGAGAGAAGGAGTGGAAAGCTTATGTAAAGAAATGATAACCGAGAACTCCCTAAGCCCAGGGAGATACTTGGACATCCAAATTCAAGACTAATTAACACACTGAAAGGAAAAGATGCTGGTAAGAATGATCTATCTGTCTGGGAAATTGTTCTGGAGTTATGAAGGACAGATAAAAACTTTGGTCTCTTTATTTATTTATTTATCTATTTATTTATTTGTTTGGTAGTGTCTTCATCTGATTTTGGGATATCATTATCAGGATAACATGTAGAGTCTTCCTCTGACTTTGACATCAGGATAACACTGGCCTGGAAGAACAAGTTTGAGAATGTACCCCCCCACCCCCACCCCACTTCCACTTTTTGGGCAGAGTTTGAGAATGATTGGCATTCATTCTTCTTTGGATGTTCAGTAGAATTTGCCAGTGAAGCCATCTGGTGTCCTGGGATTTTCTGTGTTGACGGGTCTTTGATGACCCGTTGAGTCTCCTTGCTTATTATCGGTTTGTTCAGATTTTCTATTTCTTCCTAATTTAGTCGTGGTAGGTTCTGTGTTGCTGGGAGTTGATCGGTTTCCTCCAGGTTGTGTCATCTGTGGGCATGGAGTTGTTGGTAGTAGTTCCTTACGATTCTACGTATTTCTATGGTGTCAGTTGTAATGCCTCTTTCTGTCCCGATTTTATTCAAGTTTTCTCTCGTTTTTCTTCTTAGGTGGTCTAGCTAAACATTTGTCAATTTGGCTTATCTTTTCAAACAACAAACTCTTAGATTCGTTGATCTTTTCTTTTTTTTCAGAGGTGTGTGTCTCTATTTCATTTCTTTCCACTCCCCTTCTTTCCTTCTGCTAACTTTGGGATTAGTGTACTCTTTTTGTTCTTGTCCCTCGAGGTGTAAAGTTAGGCTGTGTAGTTGAGATCTTTCTGATTTCTTTTTTTTAAGATTTTATTTATTTATGTGACAGAGAGAGAGATAACGAGAGCAGGAACACAAGCAGGGGGAGTGGGAGAGGGAGAAGTAGGCTCCCCGTGGAGCAGGGAGCCCGATGCGGGGCTCGATCCCAGGACCCTGGGACCATGACCTGAGCCGAAGGCAGATGCTTAACGACTGAGCCACCCAGGCACCTGAGATCTTTCCAATTTCTTAGCAGATGCATTCACGACTACAAACTTCCCTCTCTGAAATGCTTCTGCAGCAGGCTATACACAGGTTTTGGTATGTGTCTTTCCATTTTCGTTTGTTTAGAGATATTTTTTGTTTCTGTTACGATTTTTTTTCTTTGATCCGTTTGCTGTTTACGAGTGTTTTGTTTAGCGCCTGTAGCCGCTGGAAGGAACGCAGCCCTGCTGACCGCTTCATGCAGCCAATGGGACCGTGTCAGACTCCTCGGCCAGAGAGCCGCACGGGCGTGAATGTGCACTGTTTCCAGCGCGGAGTTTGCGGCCGCTTCTTCCAGGAGCACCAGGAACTGGAAAAGCAGAAAGCGGGGTACAAAGCTCTATAATGGGCTAACTTTCTTCTGAGAAAGGAGTTAAGTAACACGATGTGTCTGCTGACTTACCTTTCCACAGATCGCTTGTTCGCTCTGAAAACCAGAATCTGACAAAAATCGTCACCTACAGTGTGGGAGTGGGGGGGTGAAGGGGACAGAGGAGGTGGCTCATCCCTGAATGCACCATTTCAGGGGTTTTTAGCGTTTGAAACCGACGAATGTTCTACACACTGCAAAACACACTTAAACCGTAAGACACCAGAAAAGCGCACCCCAATGCTAATATACACAAATAAAAATTAAGATAAGCTTACATCCCATCAACACCAGAGCCACAGGGTAAGTCGGGAAAATATTACATTAATTTCTTAGGAACAGGGGTTTGAAAGATCAGAGATACAAGTGTGACGTAAGCAGCCGGGGCAGAGCTCTGCATCCCACCACCTGCAGCGCCTGGGACATGAAGCCCAGGCCTCCAGAATGTGGCCAGGCAGGGCTTCGGACACTGGTGCTCCCAGGTTTGGGATGACACGTCGGGCTGAGGTCAGGGTGCTAGAAGGAAAGGTCAGTGCTGGAATCCGTTTCCAGAAGACTGGGAATCAACTGAGAGCAGTGTCAGACACCAGGGGTCTGAGGTTCCTCGTCTGCTACGACAAAGCAGGTTTATTATGCTTATTCAGTTCTGGAGGTCAGAGGCCTGCTGTGGTCTCCGGGGCTTGCAGGAGGGTGTCTGCAGGGCCCGACTCCTTCCTGGACACAGGACTCCTTCCTCCGTCTTTGGTGGCCAGTGGACCTTCTGTGGGGTTCAGTGTGCCGCCAGCCCCCAAACCACCCTCAGTCAACAGGAACTCCCTGAGATAGCTTCTCTCCCCTGTAGCAGGTTCCAGACGATTCCCAGGTGACTCCCAACCAGACACCTGCTCTGGCCTTGCTCCCGTCTGACCTGCCCCATCCCAAAGTCAGAGGCTCTGGTCCCTGCATGGTTGGCTTAGGCCCCCGGCATGGAGTGGCAGGGCCTGCAGGGAGAGTCCTCCCCGGGGACCCACAGGCCTGGATGGAGGCTGACTGAGGCCAACGTGGACCCCGCTGGAGTCTCCACCCGCTGTGCCCCTGCCTTTCCCACTCACCGAGGCTCAGGAAGTGTGTGGGATTGCAGGACATGGCCAGCCTCTGGCGGACTGCACTATCCTCATCCTGGGGTGGCAGGACAGGGCCCTGCGGGTCAGGAAGTGAGCAGGAAGGGCTCCGAGGGCTCCTGTCTGTGGTCTCACAGGAAGGGAGTGGGGGGCACAGGCCCAGCTCTACCTTCCTCTGTTGGATCACAGAGCCTTGATTTCTGGAAGGAGTTCCAGTGAAATACTACATAACCAGTCTGAACCCATGTCCAGATGGAACCCCCCTAGAATTAACTGGTGATTATAGAGCCAGACAGAGAGATGATAGGGAGGTAGAGATAGAGATAGATGATACATGATAAAGTGCATGGATAGTACATGCATACATACATACGTGTACATGGACATAAATACAGACATGCTGGGCTGCAGATGATGAATGGGTAGAGGCACAGAGAGAGATGATGGGACTGTGGATAATGGCAGGTGCATTCCTAGGGGGATAAGTAGATACATAACTGGATACAAACGTAGGCACACAAGAGATGATAGATACACACACATAGTTACACATAGATTCGAGACAGCCAAGTAGAAAGATACATAGTTACAGAGACAGCCACAGACAGATGGTGTGGAGCACAGAAAGGGGAAGTTTCTGGCTAGCTCCTGGTCCTACTAGGCTGACTGTTCTCAAGCTACACATTCCCCAAATGCAAAGGGCAATCATGAAATTCTCTGACAACTTCATGTTATTCTGGGCAGGGGGTGCGGAGACAGGCAGGTCGCACGTTGGAAGAACGCTCAGGCCAGGTCTCCCTCAAGCTCTCTAGGGCAGGTGGCGCTCTGCTCAGGTATGATGCTCTTGTCTCTGCACCCCTCTGCATCCTGTGACTCTGGGCCTTGCTCTGCACACTCACCCCTCCCTCCCAGACGGTCAGGTCAGGTTCTCTCGTTAGGGGGCGCTGACGGGGCTGTGGGGGCAGGAGGAGGAGGAAGGACAGGAGGACTTTCATGCTGTCAAACATCCCATTCTGGGGCACCTGGCTGGCTCAGTCGGTAGGACATGTGACTCTTGATGTTGGGGTCGTCGTTCACGCCCCACCTTGGCTGGGGAGATTACTTAAAAATAAGATATTTAAAAAAAAAATCCCGGTTCTAATGGAAAGCCCTGAAGTCTACAGATGCAAATTCACTAAGGAAACAATAATGTTTGTGCAGACATTGGTGGGCAAGGCTTCCTGCGCTGTTGGGGCTGCGATGGGGGCTGGTTCTTGTCTGGACCCCCGTGGGGCTCCCTGGTCCATTTATGGCACAGAACACAGGACTGTGACTAAGGGAGGTGGTCCGGAGCCCCATCCCTGATGACGACATGCAGTCATAGCATCGTCTCCTCCCTGTCTGTCCCCCTCACTCCCAGGCCTCTAGCAACTTGGGGCTTTTGCATGTCCTTGATTCTCAAAAGCTTCTCCTATAACTCGACCGGCCTTTACATTTCAGCGAATCTTATGTTCCTTTCACAGTTTCTACTAGGGCCCAGTTCCTGGGGGGACTGAAAACATCCACTGGATTCTGATATGTCCCATGCACCACCTGCTCACCCTGGGAAGGAAGGCTGAGGACCTGGAAGCGTCCTGGGGCTTCTAAGACCCATACTGACCTCCCGGGAGAAGGAGGCAGGGAAGGGAAAGGCCTGGGCCTTTTAGGATCAGAGCTCAGGGGAGTGGCTAGCTGAGCCATGGACACCAGCTGGGCTCCCAGGCAGAGCTGGAGTCCTGGGGTAGGGACTGCCTTGGGGTCCTGGAGTCAGCAAGGCGAGTTCTGATAGGGACAGAGGAGGGGTCTGTGCTGTGCTCTTGGACATGGGGCTCTCCCTAGACCTGGCACACAAGCCCAGAGCAGACCCAGCCCCTGTAGCCACTGTTCTTCCAGGACAAGAGAATCAAGCTCTCTAAGCCTGCCGTCCCTCCAGGCATCAAGGCCCATGTGCTCTATGATTCTTGGCCTGAAACCACATGTCTGATGCCCAGACCTCCGTGTTCCCAGCCTCGAAGAAACAGAAGGTCCAGACCCATGGGCTCTGCCATGGACACAACCCAGGAAGCAGCCCTGTGGATTCAGAGGCCTTGTGGCCCCTGCGGAGAGGGTCCCCCACCTACTGCAGGGAAGCTGGGGCTCGGGGTCAGGGATGCTCTCCCCAGAAAAGCACTTCTCTTTCTACATGAAAGCAACCATCCTCGATTCCCAAAGAAGCAGGAGGAAAAGGTGGCGATGCTCTGTTGAAACTCATCCCTAGAGAAAGACCCCAACACTGCAAATGGGTGTTGCCATTGACCGCCTCCCAATCAGTGACTCTTGCTTAGGTGATGTTGCCCAGGCAGGAAGGTGGAACCAGAGGGAGCAGGAGGATACTGAGCAGCTGGGCGGGACCTTGGGGAGAGGGCGGGGGCTCATCAGGACGTGCTGCAAACCACGAGAGGGTGCCGTGGAAGCCCACGCGTGCAAGCATGCCTTTGGTGGATTTCAGTGAAAAAGCAGTTGAAGGAGGGCCTCTAGATGATTGCTCGTGCTGGGAGAGGAAAAAATGCTCAAAAACCGTGGGAGCAATTATAACAATACCACAGGAGTTGCTCTATTTCATCGAAGATAGGTTAGAAGTCACTCGTTAGGAAATTCAAACCTGGAGAAGTTACAGAGTCCACACATAAGTGAACGTACCATCGTGGGTGTGTGTTGGGGGATGTGCGTGTGTGCATGAGTGTGTGTGTGTAACAGCAGGATGTAATGCCGTTCAGCTGAAGAAATAAAATGTCTTTGGGGCGCCTGGGTGGCTCAGTCGTTAAGCGTCTGCCTTCGGCTCAGGTCATGGTCCCAGGGTCCTGGGATTGAGCCCCGCATCGGGCTCCCTGCTTGGCAGGAGGCCTGCTTCTCCCTCTCTCACTCCCCCTGCTTGTGTTCCCTCTCTCGCTGTGTCTCTCTGTCAAATAAATAAAT